ATGGTTCCCATTATTTCAGTTACACGGCATTTGAATCGTTTTCATTGTTTTTATTAAGCTTGTTTAACAGCCGGTGGAATTTCAATTTTTTTTTTCGCTTTCGTCTGACGGTTACAATCACATTTTCATATTTTACCCAAATTCCAAGTCCAAGTCATTTGTGTCTATACCTACAAGCTAAGTGCCAGTATAGCAATGAATCTCTGAAGATTTTAAATTATCCTCAGTTCTTAAATTTAAATGTTAATCAAAGAACAAAAGTTGCAAAAAAGGTACGACTTTGCTTAAATTGTTTACGTACTGGACATATAAGTAAAGATTGTTATCTGTGGCAAATGTCAAAAATGTAGTAGAAAACACCACACTCCACTCCACATTGATAAGTGGACACTTAGTACACATAGTGCACATATTGCTGGGAACTTCTTCCAGAATTTGATTAGGTCCAAATAAACTAAATTTGGTTGGATTATATCAGGTCCTCCACCTACTATTTCTTACAGTTTTATTCTTTGCATTTTTTCCCAGTGCGATGAGTATCCTAATCTTTCTAGATTCTGGGAGCTAGAAGAATGAACAAATTCAACTTTTTCATCATCTAAAAAGGTGAGGAACAATTTGTATCAACATTTATACGAAATTCTGAAGGTAGATTTATCGTCACCATTCCTCTCAAGTACTCAAGTATTCGCCTAATAAACTTGGAGATACTAAGCAATCCCCTACCAAACGGTTCTATAGTTTAGACTTTTAGAGAGAAAATTTCAAACTAATATTTCTCTGAAGGAAGATTACCACGATTTTATTAAAGAATATATTGGCTTATGTCACATGTCAAAGTTTCCATTGGGCCATTCTTCAAATATTTCATATGTTCTCCCACGTCATGCTGTTTCGAAAGAGGAAAACCTTACTACTAAAGTCAGGGTACTTTTTGATGGATCTTTTCCTTCCAGTATCAGAGTTTCTGTTAATGTTCTTCAGATGGTAGGTGACTAATATCAATCTTACTTGACTTTAGACAGCATCATTTCGGAATCCTCAACAAAACAATCTTTAACAAATTCTTTGGAGGTTTAACTCACTTGATGATTTTTCAACGTATCAACTGTAATGGGGAGGTAGAGTTGGTGCTGCGTTTCCTGAAACCCGCCGCATAAACGGCCAACTAGCTCTGAGTTAAACACAAAAGAGGAACTTTGGAATCTTCCACAGCGGTAGTTCGTTCTGGAAGGAACTCCAGTAGTATTCGCGAGTTTCACTTGACCATAACTTAACCGAGATCGCAAAGATCAACTTACTTAAATGTGATAGCATATGACCCAGAAGGGGCAAACAGTAAATACTAATACGCTAAAAGTTACCGTCTCCAAAACCTAAGATGGCCCTTATAGTTGAATTAAATTGGTTCGTTAAACTGGTAACAATTAAAATAGAAATTGAACCCTAAAATTAAAACCCTAAAAGAAAATCAGAAGTAACCCCTCTTTGTTCATAAACTAAAATGTACATACTACATACCTCTTAAATAAGAGGGGTAATTATAGATGAATGCAACAATCGTCGATGGAAATTGTAATATGACAAAGATCAGTCGAAACCTAAACAAAAGGTACAAAGATTCAATTACGGAAAATTCAAATGGTGTACTTACGATAAAGAAGTCCATATTTGAACATTTAAGCGAAAATTTTATCCTGTCCAGGACCTTTATTATTTTTTAAATTTTCCACTTCTTTAACGTCTTCTATTGTTGGAACTTGTATCTTGTATTCTTCTTTATAAAATCCTCTGATGTCTTTCGACGTATATTTTTCCTCTAATTCTTCTAATCTTTGTATGTCGTATTCTCGCTTCGTCCTTCTTATCCACTGCTTTGTTCTGCGTAATTTTTTCTATTTTCCTGAGCATCGTTTTGTAGTAGTAATGCGCTTCGATTGCCATATTGCATTCCTGGTCAAACCATTGCTTTTTGTTTGTCCTCTTTGCTTCTCTCGTTAAAGTTTTGCTTGTTTCTTCTATTGTATGCCTTATCTGTTTCCTCATTTCCTCAACTTCGCTTTTTTGTTGAGTTGATGTTCTATCTTATATTCCATGTTCCTAGACAAACTTTTTCTTCTTTTATCTTTATGTTATTAGTTTTTCTTGTCCTTGTCACTGCTTGGGTTTTCTTGCTGGATCCGTCCTGTTTATTCGCTACTACTTTTTTGGAAGTTCACTTTTAAATAGCGGGTTTCCTATCCACAATTTTTGATAACCTACTTTTGTCTTTTTTCCTTTTCTTCTATAGACTTCCTCATTATTTCATTTTGAATTTCTCTCTCCTTTGCCGTAAGGGCATTTTCGATATAAACTTGTCTTCTTCGCAACTTAGCTTTATTCTCCATTATTCTTCAGATGAGGATATATAATAAACCCAAAGTTATACAAAATTTCTCATTATCAAAAATTCTGATTTGCTTAAAATAGGTGAAAGCGCCAGAACTCTAGGTCTTTATGGATTTTCTCATGTTTAAGATAAATCAGTCAACCTTTAAATCTGTCACGAAAAGAGCTATTTTATCACATATTTTTCAAATTTTTTACCCCCTTGGATTTTTGACTGCTTGCGTTATAAAGGTAAAAATTCTTCTTCAGGTGATTTGGTCTGAAAAAATAGCTTGTGATGCAAAGCCAATCATTCAAACCTGAAATTCAGTGTCTACTTTCCAATACAACTAGTGTTTCAGTAAAAAATAAAAAGATTTTCACTATACAAGGTGTCCATTTTTCGAGTGCCACTATGGGGATCTCGCTTACCTTAAGAGATAGAAAGTTGGTTAAATGGGGGCAAACTTGCGAATTTCCCTGCTGAATAACCATCTGAAAAGAAATTTAAAATATCATCAATAGTTCCGAAAATATCGCAAAAAAACGAAACTTTTTCATTTTCGTCTTTAATTTTTTCATGATAAACTAGTCGTACTAGACATGTCTAATTAACACATTATTCGAACACTTTTCAATGGAGATTTCGAATGTGACATCTCGTTTTAAATAACTTTTCAGATGACAGAGAAACACGTGGCAACTTTAGTTTTTCTTATGGGCACCATTTTTAGTTTTGAGATTTTAAGATTACGTCTTTTTTTCTCTTTACGACGATATATCACACATGGTGGTTCATTATCACATTTTTCCTAAAATACAATTTTTAATTTTTTGAGAAGAGTGCTTTGGAAAAACGTGCTTTTATTGTGAACCAAAATTTGACAGTTTGATGCATATGTCCGGTCGCAGCGTTGGCATCAGGCAACTAGATGTGTTGAGAAAATTCGATTTTCATATGAACAGAATTGAACCTTCGTTTTGCAAGAAAATTATAATTCAAATTAGAACAAAATACATAAGAATAAATAATATTTTAGCAATAAAACTAGCACAAACGTAAATGACACTGCTTGAAATAAGTCAACATTTTGTTCAGAACAAAAGAATGTTTTGTTTTTGCATAGCACTCTTCGCAGAAAATGAAAATTGTATTTTTAGAAAAAATGTGATACTGAACCACCATGTGTGATATATCGTTGTAAAGAGAAAAAAAGACCTAATCTCAAAATGTCAAAATCCAAAATGGCGCCCATAAAAAAAACTAAAGTTGCCACGTGTTTCTCCGTCATCTTGAAAGTTATTAAAAACGGGTGTCATATTCGAAATCTCCATTAAAAAGTGTCTGAATAATGTGTTAGAAGTGTCTAGTACAATTAGTTTACCATGAAAAAGTTAAAAATGAAAATCAGAAATTTTCGATTTTTTGCCATAGGTATTTTCAAAACTATTGAAGATATTATAAATTTATTTTTAGATTATTATTTAGATTTCTATCTCTTAAGATAAGCGAGATCTCCATAGTGGCACTCGAAAAATGGACACCGTGTATATTCAGAATAAAAATTACAAGAAAAGATTCATAATAGACAGTCTATTGTCCTCATCAAGATTCCTACAGGACCACATCAAAGGAACAAATTCTATTTCGGGGCGACTATTCCGGACACCGATCCGATGTACGAATTTTCCGAGATAAACCACAACTCTGGACTTATCCTTCCTTTCTTATTATACATAAGGAATGAAATCCTGGAATTTCACAAGAGGAAGACAGTTAATGGTCTACTACTAACCAAATTACATCTTCGCCGACTTCTCAAAGTGTATTTCAATAGGTGCAAAGAAAAACCATTAAAGCTGCGAACAAGAACTGTCGCAATCCTGTGGTGCGTCCACTATCGACTGACAAAACTCTTCGCTTGCTACAGCATTGGTGTTTTTTCTTTCAAAATAAGACTACAGTGTTCTGTGAATTAAGACAAATTTCTGAATACAATAGCGCCATCGTAAACAACGGTAAATAAACTCAAGCTACACACAAGAACATCAATACGCTTCGTGAGCTCATATGCAAATGTCTGTACTACTAGAGCAGCGAGCAGCTGTATAATTATATAACTTACGTGTAAACGTAAATATAACTTTTTCTTGTTAATCTTCCTTACTCAATAGTGACATTAGTTACAGTCGCTGCAGCCAGTAATTAAGTACTTACAGCCGTATATTTAATAATTTAATGTACCCATAGTGCCATTATCCTTCCGGATACTTAATAATTCCATTACGAATGGGAACCACACGATTTAACTTCTCGACATTATGGACCAATGTGAGATTTCGTGCACTACTTACGCGAATAATTAAATATCGTACCGATTTGCCACGGTAAATAACAAAAAAATGAGTATTACGAAACCGGTTCAATGAAATTACAATATAATATCAGATGGGGTGTTCTTGAGCCACATCGTTTTTTTTGTGGAAGTGTGACTCACGCATGAATTTATAATGATGTTTGAGTACCTTTCGTCGTGGAACTTGTTTTTGTAATCAAAGGCAATCATCAATTCTATTTTTACGAGGAAAATTAAATTATCCTTGTAATTAATAAGGTTTTTTTTCCATTACAGATAGGAGAATATATGGGCTTGGTTTTTTCAGTCGACGTTGCTTTCCTACACATAATTTTAACAGTAGGTAAGATATGCAAATTGTCATTGGGCGTTAACTCACTTGACGATGTAACAAATGACACTTCTAGTTCTTTACTACTGTTCAATATTTTCTACTTTCTAGGAAGCGTGTAATAATTGACATGGCACAAATGAAGAGGGGTTGTTTTGCATTATCTGAATCCGAGTAGGACAATGCATTTTCACAAATTTCCAAACTTGTAATTTTTACGTTTAAGTTCGAAACCATATCTTAGAAATTGCAAGCCGTACATTTCGAGTTCATTGGTTTTTTAACCTCAAAAGCAATGTGAACGTCTTATAAACATACAGTCTTTTGAGATTAACACTATATTTTACAAGTTTTCAATTCAGCGTTTGGAAGCAGAAATGCAAAATGTCAAATGGCTTTTAATCCTTTAGTTTGGGTTTTTACATGCCAAGTTGAAGTTTTAGTTTAAGAATTTCAGGCCCTAAATGTTAATTTATCGGATTGAAGCTTGGAATGCCTTCAAGACCTTTGAAGTTTTTAGTACCCGAAACTATATACTTATAAATTTTAGGCTTTAATTATTGTTTACTGATTTTAGGCCAGGGATTCTACGCACCAAAATTAATAAGAAAAAGTGTTTTCCCGAGAAATTTTGCTGCAGTCGATTTTTGGTAAAAAAGGAAGGTTGTACACTGCCTTTTTTTGAGGCTCGAAAAAAAATTGTCTCAGATCGACTCGGAAAAAATTTTTCTTATAGAATGTGGCCTGTAGAATCCATAATTTCAAACAGTTCCAAGATCGGGCTACTAGTTCAAAAGTTACAGCCCTTTGAATTTTCTTTCGAAATTGGTTTCTAGTCTATAACTTTTGATTGAGAAGTCTGATCGAAAATGTACGAATTGTTTTGGATTCTACGCACCAAAATTAATAAGAAAAAGTGTTTTCCCGAGAAATTTTGGTGCAGTCGATTTTTGGTTGTACACTGCCTTTTTTTGAGGATCGAAAAAAAAATTGTCTCAGATCGACCGGAAAAAAATTTTCTTATAGAATGTGGCCTGTAGAATCCATAATTTCAAACAGTTCCAAGATTGGGCTACTAGTTCAAAAGTTACAGCCCTTTGAATTTTCTTTCGAAATTGGTTTCTAGTCTATAACTTTTGATTGAGAAGTCTGATCGAAAAAGTACGAATTGTTTTGGATTCTACGCACCAAAATTAATACGAAAAAGTGTTTTCCCGAGAAATTTTGGTGCAGTCGATTTTTGGTAAAAAGGAAGGTTTGTACACTGCCTTTTTTTGAGCCGAAAAAAAAATTGTCTCAGATCGACACGGAAAAAAATTTTCTTATAGAATGTGGCCTGTAGAATCCATAATTTCAAACAGTTCCAAGATTGGGCTACTAGTTCAAAAGTTACAGCCCTTTGAATTTTCTTTCGAAATTGGTTTCTAGTCTATAACTTTTGATTGAGAAGTCTGATCGAAAAAGTACGAATTGTTTTGGATTCTACCCTGTTTTAGGCTAAATGCAAAGCTCCGATGTTATGTGCCATTTTTTGTGCTTGAGACCATATTTTATGAATAGCAGGCTTGAAATTTTGAAATTTGCAGCTTCAAGCAGGTTCCAAGTGTCTTCTAAACCTTTAGATTGGAATTTTACGTTCCTAGTTTTAAGATTAAAACTATAAAACTCTAGAATTGCAATTTGGTGATTTAAACTGAAACGTAAAGCTCCAAAAGCTTACTAAATTTTACAAAACTAAAGAAATTATCAATTTTAAGGTGAAATTGTAAGAGTCGAAGATCTCACGTCCATAAAATAAATTGAGCATCTACGGAATTGGCAAAAATTCATATTTTCGTGTTTCTGCCAACTTTGATTCTTATCTCAAATTTGTTTTTACTGTTATATTCTCCTCTCCAAAACATATACGCCTTAAGGAAGCAGAATAAATAAAATCCTTTGTTTGGATTCGACCCTTAACACTAAACACTATGCAGAATCTGCTCATGCAAAATGTTTCCCATACATCGATCTCTTTAGGAATATTAAAATTACTTCAAACAAAATGATGAATCATAAGTATCCTGTAATATGAAAAGTTAAGGAACATGGCAAACATAAGGATTTCCAGGAATCCTATGCTGCAATACGCATGGGTTTTAATCTGTGTAGAAGGTGCATGCGTAGAGCCCAAAAAATGTATAAGAATGGAAAAATGGCTAACTGTAACTATTTTAAGTTCTTTTCAGGTAAACTCCAGGTAATATTTAAAACGTCAACATATTAAGAACAATAGAAAGTCGTTTAGTATTTAAAAATGGCGTCCTGCCATCACTCTAAACCCATTCCAGGTTTTCCCTAGGAAATTCCAGTATGTCCAGGTTGGATACTGGAGATTGAATTTAACATCTCCAGGATATCCTGGCTATCCCACTAGAGAGGCAGTGGAACTTCTTTGAACGTCATCCGGGAAGGCGTCCAAACATATTCCAAAAGGTCCCCCTTAGTAATTATATAACGTTTTTAAAATAAAATAAAAATAAAAGAGGCACAGTTTCCATTACTAAAAAATTTATAGAAAAGCAATTAATTACTTGCAATTAAAACTTAGTTTACATATGTATCCGTTTCAATTTCGAGTAATTGAAACAAAGATGAGCAAATGTTACAATTTATCTTTCGGCGTTTACTGCATCAGGTTTTAAAGGAAATGCCTTCAGACCGTCAGAAAGTAATAACTAATTATCCTTTTTTACAGATCCTAAAACCGGTAAACGTAAATTAGGTTAGATTAATTATCACGTGATGCGCTACTGTAGGTATCATGGGAGATCGTTGTAATTAAGATTTCATTTGATCGCAAAAAAGGCATCAAAAACTAAATTGGTACAGATACTTGCTTGAAGAAACTTTAATCAAATAGAGAAATCCGATAATGTATCCACATCCTCTATTCTAATATCTAAGCGTGGACATCAGTAATTATAGTCAAAGCCCTTGGGGTTGCTCAATTATTTCACTTCGGAAAAATCTACTTAAGTAGTGAATAAGAAGTTCCGATTTCATAAGAATTTGTGACCCCCAAGAACGGAACGATACCGAGTGGTAGAACAATGAAGTTACTTTTCTAATGATGACGAGGATGATAGCATCTTAAAAGGTAGAAATTTCCCATTGTTCAACGGTCAATGCGATCTTATACAAGAAAATTGTTGATGACTATCTCTGGCGGTCGTAACAAATCCCTCAAGATGAGTAGGTCGCATACTTAGTTTTGAATAAATAATTCACCTACTTTTGTTACATATGAACAATACTCCTAATTTTCAATATCTCGAAATGTTCTTCTCTGATTCTGGGTGGAAGTTTCCTGGCAGTGAATATTTCTGAGGACTACTCAATTTTGTTTACTGAATAATTATAGGGGCAATAATTTTTCATGGATCTTCAAACCAAATCAAAGGAAATGAAAGTTAATTAACACGTTGCACTGTTGCCAGTTTGTTAAATTTGATTTTAATTATCTAATAACTTTGGTCCATATTAGAATTAGTTAATATTTGCAAGACCTTTCTTTTTTTTTTAATTTACCACTATCAATCTTCATCAACTCAAATTCAGATGCTTGTTTGTAATCTAATCATTCACGCTAGTCGAAAGAAAATTAAACAAAGTAGGCGATTTTTTACCTTAATTCTTAATTAAATTGTTAATTATAGTAACAAGCTTCTAAATGAATAATATAAGACAGTATGCCTACCTTCAAAATCAATTAGGTTACTAGCAAAAACGTTTTTTTTGTTTACGTTGCAATTAATCTACTTTCTATCTGCGCTCCGAACCTTTTGCTTTTGACGCTAGGACGGTAAAGTGACGAGAGAATCAATCCGCAATGAGAGCCGTCAAGTTAAAATTCGCCGGTCCACCGTTATATGAAAGCAAAGTTTTATTCTAAACTTGCCAATTCGTGCGTGGGTCTAAGAAAATTGCTTCACGTTTTGTAAATAAAGTTGCTTTAGTGCATTTTTATGTTCAAAATGTGACATTAGAAACTTTCGATTAAAGTTAGACGCGAGCAATGTGTGCAAATGAAAGGCCGCGGACATTTTGCGATATACGCTGGGGAATAGCGAAACTGGGAATAAAATTTCGACGTATGGTTAATTATATATGTCGTTCAAATGTTTGGAAAAATCCTTAATCTCACTTCTCATTTTTCTGAATGGGTTTGTCCACAAGGGCATATCACACTGAATCTATCGATGTTTTAGTAGGGATAATAAAATTAATAGGCTGATGATGGAAGGATGAAGGAATTAACATTTATATTGAATCTCTTCGATCAGAACAATTTTAAATCTTCCTAGCGCAGAGTACCTTAACGGTCATAAATCATGTTATAATCAAGCTCTATACAGGGTGTAGCATCTGTAACAATTGTTCTTAACCGTTACGTAAACTTTGGAATTTCTTTTATGGTCACCGTCATTTATTGTTTGATAGTCGTTAGCATACCTATATTATAACGGGCGTCATCTATCGATGCATTTTTTTTGCACAGGCCACAAGGCGCATTGTTCGATTTTCTTTTCCGGAATTCGACTGCGGACGCCCTTTGGTTTGACACGTTAGTCAAACAGGGCGAAAACCATGTGGTTCTAATTGTAAATTCCAATAATAATTCATTTCTAGCGATTGGATCTGAATTAAGTGGATCGGTTCTGTATTGCTCTCCAGTTTGAAGGCTATATCTTGGTTTTCTCTTGATCTGTAAGTTAACCGACATGACTTTGAACGCGTTATTGTTTTGTTGGTACGGGTTTAATGTAGACCAAGGCCCTTCAGGCATTATTCCATCCAGTAGTTACCGAACCATGTGGATCGGGGTTTCGGATTTGTTTTGACTTGTTCTAGGTTGAATGGCTGGAACTGAGCTCACTGCCGGCGACAGCATCTGAATAAGTTCCCCTCAGATTGGATGTTTGCTGTTACTAATCCATCGGAAACATACAGAACAATGATGATTTTACCCG